CAATAAATATTTCAGGATGTAACAATTTATTAAGTTAATCAAATAATAGACTCTTCAGATTTTCATAAATAAGTTATGTCAGAGAAGAAATAATTACAGAAAATTAAAATGACTATGAAAATAGTTTCTAGTTGTTTTTTCTAAAAGTAATACACACATTTCCAAATAAAAGAGTTTTTAAAAATCATTTTTAAATTAATTGCATGTCTACAATAACAAGTCCTACAGTACAGAGAGGTAAAGGAATGAGCTTTGGCAAATGGTCCAGCAGGAAACCAAAACTTGTGCAGAATGTGAATGTGTCTAGCAGATCAGAAAGGCTAGAGAATAGGAAGTGCTCCCAGAAGGGGAAGAGAAGACTGACAAAGGACGCTAAAGGAGCATCTGGAGATGGCAGGGTACACCTTAATGTTCCAAGTTAGAAAGCATGGGCTTTGGCCCAAAGGCAGTGGGGAATCTCAGCTAGAGGACCTTAAGGAGCTGGTGATCTGATCAGCGGACCTTTTTGGTAGCAGTATTGTGGACATGTTGGAAGGCAATGATACTGAAAACTAGTCAAGAGGCTACTGCAAACTCAGATGAGTTATCAGGGTCTTAATAAAGGCTGTAAAGGTAAAGAGAAGGGGAGGACCCAAGAGTTATTTAGGATGCAGTCTGAATAGGACATGGTCATTTGCTGAGTCTGGAGAAAGAATAAGAGAAGAGATAAAAGGAAGGAAAGAAAGAAGGTAGGGAGGGAGGAAGGAAGAAAAAAGGAGGGAGAGAGGGAGGGAGGGAGGAAGGAAGAAGGTACTGATCTGGGCAGCTGGCTGCATGATGACCATGCTCCCTGGGCCAGGGAAGAGGGGAAGAAAAGCAGGCTTTGGGGAAGATGACAGGCTACATAGGAAGAACAGTTTTCAAACAGGATGCACCTCTCAGCTACTTCGTTACATGGCGACCAGAGGGAATGGCTTGAATAAATTCTACTTCCTATTCTTGATAGCAAGTGACCTGTGATGTCCTGGCAATACGCTCTGGTGTCATGACTCTTACCCTGGGCCAAGTTCACTTACGGGTGTGTAAAGTTGAGTTCAGTTTTCTAAAAGAGTTCTGAGTGGCCAGTATACCATGTGGAAGAGTTGGTCATAGATGGATAAAGGCCGAAGGCTGAACTGGGGAAGCTAGGGGAAGGGACCAAGGCTGGGTGGGGGAAGATGGCATTTGTCAAAGGGTTAGGAGGCTCATCGTATCTGTCTGGGGAAGAACAGAAAAGCTGGGGTCCAAAGTCTGGGACGCGTGGATTTGCCACTTTTAAGCTTAAGAGGACCCTGGCACTACCAGCTTTTGACATTACCTGGCTCCTGACCGCATTTCTCTCCTTCCTCACACCTCTCCCTCACTGTTAACGACTGTGGCACCAGACAACCCCAGTTCATAGAATGCATTGTGCTATTTCATGCTTTACATTGTTTTATCTTCCTAGAAATAAACTTCTTCTGCTTGCCTACCTGGACAATGCTTCTCATCCTCCAAAACCAAGCTATGACCTCACCTACTCTGATCCTCACAATACCTTACCAGTGTTTCCCAAACTTTTGACATATGTGTACCCCTTCTATAATTTTTGTAACGCTGAGTACCCCTCATATTCATGAGAACATAGAATTAGGTGCAGCTAAGCATGGTGCAGTGCATATCCCCACCAAACTCCGGTGCAACGCGTATCCCCACCAAATTCTTCCCGTACCCCTGGGGGTACGCGTACCACACTTTTTAAAAAAATATATATATTTTATTGATTTTACACAGAGAGGAATTGAGAGGGACAGAGAGACAGAAACGTCCATGAGAGAGAAACATCGACCAGCTGCCTCTTGCACACCCTCTACCGGGGATGTGCCCGCAACCAAGGTATATACCCTTGACTGGAATCGAACCCGGGAGCTTTCAGTCCGCAGGCCGACACTCTATCCACTGAGCCAAACCGGTCCCAGCGCGTACCACACTTTGGGAAACACTGCCTTAGAGTATAATCATTGCACATAATATACCGTATGTCAGTTTATAAAAAATAGAGGCATTCACCTCACGGTGGCACCTGGTAGGTCTGAAGCGTGAGTGAAGGGATGTGTTCTAATATGGGTCTAGCACTCCTTTCTCTGCTGGGCTGCTGACACCATAATATAGTCCCTTGACTGACTTGTTTCTAGGGTCTCAGCAGGACCACCTCACTTAGGGGAATGTTTACAGCAGTGATCCCCACTATTGGGTGCTAGCATGGGCCCTGGGGAGACCTTCCAGCCTCCCTGATCTCCACAGAACCTCAGCCAGCACTAACATTCAGTTCTGCAAAGCGAGAGAGATGTGAGAACAAGAGGTACTCTTGGCAATGCCAACCACAGATCCCACACCAGTAGCTGGCCCTTCAGAGGATGACCTGAAGAGAGAGGGATGACTGCTCTCTGGCTCTGGGATGGATCGATCTCTCTCTCTCTCTCTCTCTCTCTCCCCTCCTCCTTCCCTCCCTCCCTCCCCTTCTTTCTCTCCCCCCCTCCCTCCCTCCCCTTCTTTCTCTCCCCCCCCTTCTTCTCTCCCCCCTCTCTGTATGTATACATGCATGTATGTATCTATCCCCTGTATGTATGTATGTATGCATGTAGGGAAACATTGAGCTCCAAGGAATTTCTGAACTTTGTGTAGATGGGCACTTTTCTGGGGAGACAGTTCACACCATTAATCAGTTTTGCAAAGAGGTCCATGACTATTACATACTAAGACCTACCATTCCAGAAACATGCCTTTCTTGAGGCACTTCTGCTCAGAGAACCAACTGCTGACTTAAGATCACAAAGCCCTGGTCTTAGTCAAGGCAGATCATGGAAGGGACTCAGATTCCTCCCTTCCCAACACTGTAGCACTTACACGCTTCCATAAACCCCAGAAAAGCCATTCTAGAGATAAACATTGTGTGCCATTGAAGGAAGGTCCATGGTTCTCCTACAAGATCAAGTGCAATGAGTGAGAAGAGTGAGCCTCGCAGTACCGCTACACTGGCCTTTCTGTTCCTTAGAGCAACAAATATTCCACATGGCAAATCTCCTGGGCCTCACTCCTGATGAAAGTCATGTTGATCCTGTTCTATCAGTCCTGGCTTCAGGAACCGTAAATAAACAGACAAATCCTGTGCCATGGCTCTTTTACATTTGACCTTTCCTTTTTCTGGCATAGAAGCCTGTGGTTTTAAGACAGCAGGAAAAGGTTTCCATATTAAATAGGCAAGAAGCATGCTCGCAATAGCACTCACACGCAGGCACTAAAAGAAAGCAAGTCTAAAACTGGAAAGGCTTATACTAAACTCCGGGGAATTGAGACTCACTTTTCACCCACATCCTGTAAAGGCAGAAAAAGCACAGGAAAAGGTTTCTATTAAAATGTATGTTTTTTTTCTCTTTTTTAAGGAAAAACATAAATCATTCATATTCATCCAGATATCTGAATAGCTCAGCTGGACATTTCCCCCCCTTGGTTCCCACTGTTTTTCCCTCGCTCACTTCTGAAAGGATAATTAAAAAAAAAAAATCCTTATGGTGAATCTTTTACATTTCAATTGTTAACAGCACATGCTTTGTACCCAAGTAGGTGTAGGCTCTGCCACTGACTTGCCAAGTTGCTGGGCAGGTTTCTTAACTTCTTTGAGAACCTCACTGTTCATGGATTCAATGGGAGTGTGAATAGTACTGATTTCCAATAGTTATGGAGAGAATGAAATAAAATGGAGCATTAAAAACATCTTAGACTAGCCCGACACATTCTGAGCATTCACTAGATGGTAGTTAAAAAAAAAAAAAAAAAAAAAAAAAAAAAAAAAAGCTAGGTACTAATATCTCTATCAATGAAACAATTCCATAGACATACCTTGTGCGTTATCAGACAGGTTGAACGTGTAGACACAAAAGTCAGACATAGTAGGACTGTTTTCTCAGTGAGCATTTCCCATCTTACATACTACATGGGGGTGGTTAGAATGCCTTCCTGAGCTTCAGGTGAGCTCGAGTCTGGCAGAGAAGGGTCCTCCCTCCCTGGCAACACTGCGGGTCATCTGCCCAGGTCCACAGAGGGCCAGAAAGCCACAGCCTGGAGGACATCCTTTTTCCCAGTGACCAGGCCCTGCGAGTCCCACCTGCTCTTCCAGAAAGCCCTGGTCAGACCCCAACCAACATGCCTCCTGGCCGTCTTCACTATGGTGACTCTCCTAGGTTCATCTGAGCCAGGAAATGATATTCCCAAGAATGTGTTAATGAATTGATCATCATCCTTCAGAGCCCCTCAGAACTGCATTTCCATCCTTTGTCTTCAAAAGGACGTGTCCATACTGTCTCTAAACTCACCTTGTCAACAAAATCTTCCCTGGGCTTTGGCCTTACACTTTTTTCTTTTAAGTATCGAAGGCTGGGGACTCGGACTATAATTCCTCCTTCTTTTTGACAGTCAACCTCTGGCTAAGTTTGGGTAAAATGGTGTTTACTCTGTTAGGCCTCATTCCCAATCACCTCTTATTCAGATCACGTACAACATGTTCAGCAAATGGGCTCACCACATGGTCCACACCCACATCCACACTTGATTTCCAGGAACCCACTTAGCAATCCCACCACACATCTCTGCTCTAAGCTTCTCTTGCCTGTTGAAATCTTACTTCTTCCAAGATTCCTACATGGCTTAATCACTGCTTTAACCCTAAATTTCTTTAGCCTCTGGTTTAGCTACTGTCCCCACAGTGGAGGATGCTAAAGAAAACAAATCTTTATAAAAGAAAAGCTGACTTAGCTTATTAGTAACATCAACAGACACTCTAGACAATTCCCTCATCACCCACACATTCCTCTGACGCCAGGAAAGCATGAGTCAGCACCAGGATTGGGACCAATGGGGTTCTACGTATCTGCTTGGCACATTTCTTTCAATTTCTTACATCACCACAGGCAACTTTTCAAAGAAAATCCAAAGCGTTTCCTTACCCGACAGTCTCTCTGAAGAGTTTTCATGAGCGCATTGTATGTCTCCATATCAAAATACAACCCTTCGTGCATGTCTTGTAGGAAATCTAAGTCCTTGAAGGTGGGGTTGGACTTTTCTCTCTCTTTTCGGGATGCCCTTCGCTTGTAGGTTGAGCCTTTCAAGTCGTATGTAAAGTGCATTCTCATGGCGCGCGGCAAGACATTGTTCATCACCACGATTCTGATGTTAATGCCCCCTGATTGCATGCAATACAGTCCATAAAATTTTGGCAAAAGAGTCCTTGGATTCTGGTTTAAATTCTAAATAAAGAAAAAGAAAACAAATGATTAATATATCCTATTTTTACCAAAGAAGCTCCACTAAAGATGTGTTTCTACCTATCTTAAAAAAACAGAACATGGTTATCTTTCCTAATGGCCATTGCTAAAAGTTTGCTGTCCCTAATCTAATTCTTCAATCAGCTTATTTCAATAGCAACTTTATCATTTTAAACCCAAGACACTAAAAGTAGCTGAATTAAAAATGGATAGAAAGTCCCAAGTTAGCTCCAAGTGAAAAATGGGCCGTGGGTGACTATTCTCTATGGTAGCCAAAGACAAAATTAATTGCTTGGGAATAAGGGATGAGCCTTTTAAATTTTAATAGCTCCGGAAAAACTGTCTTCCGAAATGGCCATCCAATTCACAGGCACACTCTGTAAGATTACACATTTTTCATCACTCTTATCAGTGCTGAGTATCAAACTTTAAAATCTTTGTAAACATGATTGGTGAAAAATGAAAACTTTAAAAAATAATTTGAACACCACTGACTAGAGAAATGTAATATTTCTGATTTATTTTTAGGTACCTCAAAGGTAATTTTCTGCTAACATCCATCCCCTTGCTCATTTATCTCTAGGTTTTTGTCCTTGTTGGGAGTCCTTGATATGGCCTAGATATCCATCATTTTCCTATTCTCTAGGAAGTACATATTTTGTCCCAGTCTTTTTAAAATATAAAAACAAAGAATACAGGCCTGTTTTTGTTCTACTTGAAAAGTAGGTGAGAAAAGAAAGGCATATCTATAATGAAAAGTCTCTACTGTGCCTGAACCTTCCCTAATTCACAACTTTTGAGGGAACTAATATTCCCACTTTCTTTGTATTATTCCAGAAATATTCTATGATCTTAATTTGCGATATTTCTTTTCATTATACTGATGTTTTGTTTTTTTAATGTAGTAACATTTCTGAACCCATTTCTTGGGCTTTTTTGGCTGCTTATTTAACAAAGCATTTTATTTTTTTATTTTATTTTATTTTAAAATATATTTTATTGATTTTGTACAGAGAGGAAGGGAGAGAGATAGAGAGCTAGAAACTTCGATGAGAGAGAGTCATCGATCAGCTGCCTCTTGCACACCCCCTACTGGGGATATGCCCGCAACCAAGGTACATGCCCTTGACAGGAATCAAACCCGGGATCCTTCAGTCCCCAAGCCGACGATCTATCCATTGAGCCAAACTGGTCTCGGCTAACAAAGCATTTTATATCCCAAGGTTATAAATGCCTTTTCTTCCAGATTTTAATAGTTTTGTTTATTACATTATGTTTTTACACCATATGAAATTTGTATGTGTGTGAAAGATCTAAAACAGGAACTTAATTTTTTTCTTCAATGCATAGCCATTTATTGAAGAGTCTATCCTTTCCCAATTGAGTTTAAGTGCCTCCTATATCATACAATTAAGTTATCAAAACACATTTCTGGACACTTTATTTGGATCTACTTGTCTACCACATCTATAATTTTAGTATGGCTTTAAAGATTTTCTATATATTTAGAGCAGGCCCACCATTCTTTACTCCAAAATGTTTTGTCCATTCTTACAACTTTTCCCTTCCACTGTTTAATTTTTTTTTTGGTGCTCTTAAAATACTTGTTTTCACTTGCAAATGAATCAGCTTTGACAAGTTCTAGGAAAAAATTATATTGGAATTACACTGGATTATATGTTTATTTGGGGGTACTAAAATCTCTACAACACTGAGTTCAGAAATGATGCATATGTCTTTATATTTCATATCATTTTCATGTCCTTAAATAAAAATTTTTAACTTTCCATTATATTAGTCTTGTACATTTCTTTTCATAAACTTAAGTATTTTAGAATCTTTATTACAAAATTTTGCAGGAATTATTGGTCCTATGTTATAATTACTTTAACTTGCTTTCCCAATCAGAATTATAGTATGTCTTCATTTACTTATCTTTATTTTTCTAATAATGTTCCTTATATTATCCTCATTATGAATGTAATCTTTTCCCCCCTTATATTCTCCAAGTCTATGTGATGTACATAAAAGAATACATGGATTTTGTAAATGTGTCTTACTATATCTGGTGTATTCTTACTACCCAGAAACTACCAGTTTATTTTCTTGAAATTTTGCTGATTTTCAATTTTATAATTTGTAAAGAACAGAGTTTTCACTTTTCTTATATTTCTGTACCAAACATTTATTGCTAAGAATTCTAGCAAATATATCAGAAAGGACCATTGATGAAGGACATCCTTTTCCTTTTCTATCATATCCAGTGAAAGGGCTCTTGTTCTTTTCAATGAGATATGTGAATTCTTAGAGACTGATAAAGGTATAATATATGAGTATTCACTTAGTTATTACATTAAAGGACTTCCCTGCCCATTTTGAGAATTTTAATTAAGATGTTGAATTTCAAGTGCCTTGGTTTCTCTTCAATGTCTGTTTGGAAAACTTCATGATGTTCCCATGCTTTTCTTTTTAGTGGGATGAATTATATTGTTTGTTACACTAGCTTACATGACTTGGATAAAACCACTTGTTCAGCTAAATTTGAAATTTACTGAATGTTCATTAATTTCAATTTAATACCCATGCAAAAGACAAGTCTATCTAGAACTATAGAAGCTTACAACTATAGACGTTTAAGATTTGCTTACTTAGAGGTTAGCCAGGACTGTGATGTTAGTTTGATTCCAATTTTATATTACTTTAAAATGTGTGTATGAGTACAATATAGCCAAAAGGACATATATCGACTTATAACACATATTAGTAATACGCATCTCTGGGAAAGGAATTATGGCTGGTTACATTCTTTTTTCCTTTTTTGTATTTTTTAATATTCTTTAGCAGAAAGAAGAGAATTTGCTCAAAAACAAAAGCTGTTTGTTCAGATCAAGACCTTTTAAAATCTGTGCACCCTGTCATTTAAGATTTGTATTTAGATGTTTGATCGCTCTATTTACATGTGTGGCAGATTTACAGCATTTAATGTAGTCTCTAGCAGACTTCGGAATTAAATAATCTTTTACACATAAATGAGCTGTGTGGCATCTCATCAATTCTGTTTTAAAACAAAGACGGCAGTTATCATCTCTCTTAGCAAGTGAGCAGCAGGACTGGGGGCTTGAAATCTAAACTGCTTCCTGTAGCCATTCCAACAACAGATCATTAATAGCTGTCTTGAAGGTACCAATACATGAGAGGGATGAAGATGAAAAGGTTACTTAGGAAAAGTCTTTATTTTTGAAAAATTTAGGCTAAATGTCTCGTAAAATCACCTAGACTAGGTTACTGGTTGTTTGTCTCTAAAACATTACATGGAAGGTGGTTTTCCTGTCATTATACTTAACCTATGAAATTCTGAATGAGTGATTATTCTGGAATACATGCCGGGACATAGTGCAGGGGTTAAAGACACAGCCCTCTGGAACCCTACCACCTGTATTCAAGTCCCAACTCTACAGCTCAGTCCCTAAATAGCCCCTGGCCACTTATTCCATTCATCTTTGTCTCAGTTACTCATCTACCAAATGGCAATGACTGAAGTGTCCAAGATTGCAGTGAGAATTAAAAGTGTTAGTACCAGAAAAGCACTTGTAGCTCTCCTTAACTCAGTTTAGCACTCAACGAATATTAACCACTCATGTTATTAATATGTACTGGGAGCAAGGAGCTTTGCAATGAATGCATTGCTTCCTTTATCTTACATCCTGTATATTTTCTTTATCACAACCCACCACGTGAAATAGGTATTTCTCAGCTTTTAAAGATTGCAAGGATTAAGGCCCAGAGGTTACCTTGCTTCCTTGTGGTCACACAGACAGTTAATGGCTGAGCTGGGATTTGAACCCAAGGCAGACCAAGTCGAAACCTATGCTCTACTACTCAGTTCTATTTTGCTTTTCAAAATCTAGTCAACCAATGTCATAGTATAATCTAACTGCAAAATAAAGTTCACCAGAGAGAAAGAAACATGCCAAAGAGTCACTGAAAAAACACACAGAAATACATTCTTGAAGAAAGTAATTAAATCTCAAGCAGACGCTTTAATTATGTGCAGCTACTTACCATGTAATAGCCTGGCAGCAGCTTCTGAAGGAACTCTGCCTCTTTATGCTGAACTGTTTTGATAATAAATTCATCGTCACTGGTCACAAAAAACAAGGACCCACTGGCTCCAGGGTTGGACAGCTCTATCAGCGGTTCATTGCAGAGGGAATACTGCGAGAGGAAGGAGGAAAACCACAGCATTACGTCTATGGCCATTTGGAAACAGGCAGCACTCTCCATGAGCTTTAAAAAGAGGCCCCAGGTACACTCAGAAGGCTCTGTGTGAGATTTCAGAAACTTTAATTAATCCATTAATTTTAATAATACTTTGATGGGACACAGACGTGCCCTTCCCACACCTGGCATTATGTGATAGAATCATAAATCATTGCATGTATTGGATGAGATAGCTCAAACAGTCGTGTTGATCAAGGTGCTTTGTTTCTAACAAGTGCCCACAAAATAACAACTAAAGGTCGGATCCACACTGTGCATCTGCCACTTGAACACTGATACCTGTTCTCTTCCTTCATGATTCTCCCAAAGGATGTTATCCACTCATGGCTTCACCAAGGAAATGTCTCTAACATCTGTACCTCCAGCCCAGATCTCTCTCTAGGACTCCAGACCTGTAGCCCTAACTTTTTAATGGATTTTTTTTTTTAACTTAGTTATATCACAAACACTCCACATGCAACGAGTTCAAAATCCAATTCATCTGAGGATATGGTTAGTTCATATGGTGCCTTGGTGGGAATTAGAAAGAGGTGCCTATTTCTCCTGGCAGATGTAGCATGGGGCCAGTTACAAGGTAGGATTTCAGGCTCCATACCCTCACCGAGGCCAGGTGTTTCGTGCAGGTGCACACTCTGCACATCCATGCACGGTCACTCTACATCTGCCTCCTACCGCATCCTCCATCTTCTCCTTGCTCCCCGTCTATCACAGAGAATGAAAGCATCTTTATTCCCCAACATTTGAGCATTATCCTTAATGCCTCACATTTCTTCGCCTTCCATATCCAGACTATTGATTATACTGACCCCCTCATGGCATCTCTTTTGCCAATACCTTCAGCTCAATGGTTTCATCACTTCATGTCTTGATTGCTAAGGAAAGTTCCACCTCATTTCAACTGACTCAACTATCCATGCTCCAGCCTTCCAATGTATTCTCCATCAGGAAACCAAGGATCTTTCTAAAATACAAACCCAAGCATATCCTTCCACACCTTCACAACCTTCAGTGGTTTCCACTGTCTACGTAGAAGATAATACCCAAGTTTTTAGAACAGAAGCTTTAAGGCCATGAAAGGCCCAGCTCTGCCCTGCAATCTTTTCTCTCTTCACTTCCCTCTTTAAATTCCAGCTCTAGTCATAGAGGGCTGCTTCGCGTTTTGTCAAAGGTGCTGCACCCTCTTAACTACTAGCCTTCTGCATTTTCCTCTACCAGAAACAACCTCCGACCTCCTTCACCTGGTTGACTACCACTCCATCATGAATTCATTCAACATTTAAAATGTCGATTGAACCCGTGTAATTTTCCAGGCACTCATGAAGTTTATATCCTAGGAAGAGGAGACAGACAGTGAACTAACAAGTGAATAAATTATACATCAGAGTGTGGTAAGTGCTATTGAGAAAAACGAAGCATGAAAAGGGGGGCAGAGATAGCCTGGGCCCTTACGGACAAGTTGAGGACAAGGCAGGAAAACAGCAATAGGCATCAGTCTGTGCACAGGATGCCATAAAAGCCGAGAGTAAGCAGAGGGCACTCTCCTGCTGTGAGTGGTGTCCGTGTGGCGAGTTGATCAGTGGCGGGGCCCAAGACACAGGACCAACAGCTGTTTGTAAAACGTGGCTCTGCTAGCAGCTGCTTACGCAACCTGGAGTAGGTAATGAAGCATCTTGGAGTCTAAGGCATCTCATCTCTAAAACAAAGATAATAATGCCTACGAGAAAGCAGCTGAAAGCTTTTAGAGTGGATGCTTTCAAAATGCCTGGCAACGGCTGACCATTTAGCTATGGCGGGTGCTAATTTTGATTACATGACCATATGCAGTGCAGAGAGGCACTCAACCTGCAACAGCAGGCAGGCGAGGGAGGGCTCGTGGTGTCTTAGGATGTACTGGGGCCTCAGTCCAACTCCTACGACAGCCAGCAGGCCTGCCCACAGATACACGAGAAGCAAGAAAAAAGGTGGGCCTTTTCTATAGTCATGAATCCGAGACCCTAAAAAATAAAGGTCTCATAAAGAATGAAGGCAGAACCCAGCCTCCCTTTAGAAATTCTGATTCCTTGTTCCATGGGGTTTGAAGTCTTGGCTCAGATAAGAGCTAATGCTGTGAAGGTACAAAAACACAAGAGTGTGGAAATTAGAGGCTGCAAATAGAGAAATTAGGGGGTGATTTTCAGGAAGAGATGTCTAAAGAAAACTGGAGTCAGAACTGAACATCTGCTCCCAATTAGTCTCAAATTCTGCTACAAGCATTGACATAATATGGAGATTATTTCATGGGTTACTTAATTGTCCAATACCCTTTTATTATGTAGCTTATAAATTAATATGAAGGGGGGAAATAAGTGTTCTGCTGCATTTTAATAACTTTTCGGGGGTCTCGACAAGCACAGCATTGGTGTGTAACAAACTGGCGTCATGATACTGGACAGGAATATTACCATTGTCCTGAATGATTATATGGTTTCTCCACCTACAATTCTGTTACATTTTCTTCTTCCCTGAAAGGCTGCCTATGAGAGAGCAAGTGAGGAGGAGAGATGGGAACATTTTAATTAGTCACACGATCAACAGGCCCCCTGGGTGCTCTTGGGTTTTATGTGACTTCCAGGCCCTTCCATTTGTGCCTGAGGTTCTAATGTATTCATTCTCCGGCTTCTGGTTCCTGCAGGTCCTCCCTCCTCTGCCCCTGGAAAGAACACTGCGTACAGCCCAGCGGGGCCCTGCCAAGGTAAATTAACAACATAAACGTGCGTGGTGTGATCCGTTCCCCTGCCATTTCTTCCCCTGACTGTGCTAAACATGCACCCTGCCCTCTTTCTTGTTGGTATCAGTGAACCTGAAAAGACATCCTATAAATCACCCTGGGGTTTTCATGGAGAAGGAAATGAGCCAAAGGTTGTTGTTGCACAAGCAGAGATGGGGGGAAAGGCTCTGGGGCTCTTGTGCCTTCCCTTGGGAGGTGTTTATTTAGGAACAAATAAGGAAGAAAAAGCGTTTGCATGGCTGAGCAGGGCACGGAAGCACCTTCGCCGTGCTGTCTCACAGCCCAAATTAGGCATGTTTCAACACGACATTTGCAATGGAACAGCATTTTAATGGAACCGAGAACATAAGCAGAATAACTCAGGCTGAAATCCAGATGCAAAAGCACAAAACTGCGGAGAAACACACATATCAAGGGGGTCCAATATCAAACCGAATCACTAATGTTAGCCAATCCTTCCCCCACCTTTAGATCAGTCTATCTTCACAAATTTGGGTTTAAATGGCCCATTTGACAGATGGCAGGATGCAATTGGTAGCTATTTGCACAATAGCCTACTTTGCTCCACACAGTTTTTCATGGTACATCTTATTTCATTTTTCTGTGTTTATTTGGGCTTAACGTTTCCATAATGCATTTTGTTGGGGCTGTAGGAGCTCTTAGGCTGTATTCTTCAGACTGGATAATCACTGTTCACAGTTTAATGAGCTAGAGAATACTTATCTTGAGACCACAATTAATGAGAGGCCTGTGACTTAGTGGGTTGGGAAGCATGAAGCCAAATGGTAAAAGGAAAAGAACACTGTTGCTGGGAGAGGGATGGAGAGACGGCTGTTTGTTCTGGTATGGACACTGTCCCCGCCAACGTGGGTAACCTTGGCATTTCCCTTCACTGACCCCAGCTTCAGATTCCTCATCTAAAACGAAGGGTTGGGCTAGAAAGTCTCTGAGGCTTATACCTGACTTTCTGAAGCATGTCGTGCCATAGAGAAAACCATTTCCTCAACTGTCGCATTCCAGGTCACTGGGTGGGGGCCCCAGATTGAGTGGTTCGAAGGGGAGTGTCTAGAAGCTCCAGACCTATAGGGGGAGCTGCCTCAGTCCTGGGCTGTGAATGTCCCCAGCGCAGGGCGGGAGGGTGGCTGTAGCCAATGGGATCAGGCCATGTATAACTAAAGAGCCACTGCCCCTGTGTTTTTTGCAGGTCCTTGAGAGGGACCCAGTTATTGAAGTGTGTGTACAGATATAAGGCTGGTGGAAAATGAAATCAAACAAAAGGATAACTTTCTGCCCGGTCTTAGCTTTCTCTCCCCTAACTTTTCATCATGGAAAAATTTCAAACATATGTAAAAGTAGAGAGAACTGTGTAATCAACGTCCATGTGTCGCACCTCAACTTCTCTTTCTGATCATTGTCAGCAACGCACCAGTAAATATCAACACAAAGCAGACTATTATTGTAGACATGCAGGGAGAACAAAGGGTAAAATATTTAACTGCAGCACTGTTTGACTATATTACACGCAGTAAGAAAACTTGAAATCATTTTCAAGGTCCACCATTTCTTAATTCTTTTCAGTAGGGTCAAGTTTTTAAACTTTCTAAATCTCCATTTTCTGGCTAGTGAAAAGAAAATAAGGTTCTACTAAATCTCCTATCTACCTACTCCTGTGAGGATCAAATGAGATGAGGCATGGGAAAATGCTTCACAGACATTTGGTTAAAGCGTAAAATGTGTGCACCTGGCTATAAAGCAAGTTGTGTTCCTTGGCTGCAGAAACTGCAAGGAGGCTAGTCATGTCTAGGGAGAGGAAGCTGGGCGTTGCTATGTGACATCATTACCCAATGCCCACAGCAACTGTTACCGGGCTGGGCTAGGCTGTAGGCCTCATTTTGCACCCTGGGGCCTCAGCAACACTGATTGCAATTTGGTGGGCTGTTGCTCCAGGTTGGTGGTGGGGCCTGTGTCCCAGTTGGGGGAAGCCGAGTGTTGTTTTGTCGGCACCAGGTCCAAGGTGCCATTTCTTTGTAAATGGCCAATATGCATGATGGCAGCTCCTGCATTGAGCATCTGCCTCCTGGTGGTCAGTGCACATCATAGCAACCAATTGGATGGTCGGAGGGACACTTAGCATATTAGCCTTTTTGTATATAGATGGCTAATTTTGTTTTCTCTACACCCTAACCACTCCCCTGCCTGCTTCCCTCAGATTCTTTTGAAATAAATCCCAGACATCAAATCATGTCATCCATAAGGTACTTTTTAAAAGATGACACCACCTATGTCATCTATGTCATCTATGGCAGTGCTAAAGACCCCTTGGGGGATGTCTGACTGCCGGCTTAGGAATGGGCCTAAGCCAGAGTCAAACATCCCCTAAGGGATTCAGGACTGCAAGAGGGCACAGGCCAGGCTGAAGAAACCCCTCCCCACCACCAGTGCAAAATGTCATGCACTGGGCCCTAGTCTTTTTAATATTCCTGATCAAAACCTTTCCTTCCTGCCATACTGGCCCACTCAAAGTCATTCTGAACATTTAATGCATTTGTAGCTTTGGTATCACAGTCACCTCTTTCTGGCCCATTTCAACATCTTTCTCTTTTCTTTCAAATCCCTTGTAATTTTAAAATCACACATGCCCGTAAGAAGCCCTCTTAATCATTAACCCAATAGAGAAGACTCCCTTCCCTCTCCTCTGAAATCCTGGAACATGTAATGTATTGCTTCTGTGTTTTTATTTACTGGCTGGTAGAATGATTGTTTCCCAGGTAAACCAATGATTCCAATTGGACTCTAAGTTCTCTATCATGAATTATAATGTTTTGAATCTCCCGATAATTATTAGTGAAGTATTTCAGTTACAATAGGTATTCAAAATAGGCAATGATTCGTTTACTTTCTGACAGGTACATGAAGGAAGGCTTTTGCTCCCAGAAGCCATCAGCTTAGTCTCCTACGCACCTTTGTAAACACTTTAACCTCATTATAAAAGTAACCTTTCCAACTTACAGGCTCATTACTGTGACAGCTACACGAGGACTTGTTCAGAAATGGGCCTTTCCAAAGAAAGCCGTGCTGTGAGACAGAACGAGCAGCAGCTTGGGCTTCCCAGCCTTAGGGGTCAATGGCCACAGGAGAGGCCTCCTCGGGAGAGGGCAGAGGGGCAGCCATCCCCTATTAACTGGATCTGTGTTATAAAATGCAAGTGTATGGTATCCCCTTTGCCTGCAGAATCTCAAGGAGATTCAGAAGGAAAAATGCATTAGTAATTTCTCAGGTGTGGCAGAAGATGAGGGATTGATCTTGTATTTAGTAATATGATATTAAGATCCCAGTGGTTTCCCCAAACACCTTCCTTGAATGACATTGACCCATAGTTAATTACAGAATGGCTAAAAAAACAAAGAATCTTCTCTAACACACACACACACACACACACACACACACACACACGCTAAATGAGTTTGTGTACTTGAGTGGCTGGGATGGCAGGGTTGACAATGCTGGGTAGGGGATACCTGGCATTTCTATTAAAAGGGTGTGATGAGGCAGAGGGCACAAGGACACACATTTCAGGAAAGCAGGATGCCTAGAGACTTTCTATTTAGTTCTCCCTGCTCTATAAAGACTTATTAAAGTGCCTTGAAGAACCAGTAGTATTTCATCTGGCAGCAGTCACATGACTTTCTTAAGGCCAAAGGAAAGAAGCAGGTCACTCACGGGTTTTCATTGGCACAAAGGAGAATCTGCTTGGGATTTAATAATTTCCACTGTACCCAAATTAAAAAAATGCATTTCAAACACTGTGACAAGTGACAAATGTGGCTCTACTTCCTTTGCAAAGCATTATTCCAGGATCTAGCTCAAGTCCTATTAATATCATTCAGAATGAGATGAATCATAGATATTTGATGGCACCCTTCTTTCAGCTTCTTGAAAACTGATTTTGAAGAGCCCCGGGTGTTAATAATGATCAAATGACACAATACACCATTTTCTTCTTGAAACAGAAAGAAGTTCTCGACTCCTTGAACAGGAACAAAGTAAATCTCTGAGGCCACATCAGACTACCTCACAGAAAGGCTGGTGTATTGGTGCTGCCTTGCACCAGAAGGAAGACAGGGAGGAAAGACAAATCTAAGAATAAAACACGCCCTTGTATCAAATGAAAACACATGGGAAAAGGACCTGTATAAAGAGATTTTGAGAACAAAGATATCCAGTTTCTTTAAAATGATATTCCATTGTCAGTCATGGTGAAAATGGTTGTGGGCCAAGGCAGCATTGAGATGCATGATGTAAATAAGGCAAATAAAACAGAAAGGCTTTCCAAGAGAATCCAATCAGCAAAATTCACAGGAGTATCTAGAACTAATTATAATGTATCTGTTAGAATAATTATCTGAAGTAGAAACCAATACCAGAGTTATTTAAGTATCAATCATGATGGCAGATTTTGTAGCCATCAGTTAAAAGCTGCAATCAAATCACATGCTCTGAAGCTAAATGTAGAATCATGAGAGTTGGAGCTTTTTACTACGCTCCAGAGCTTTATAAGAGACACAAGTCACTTATCACTGTTGCTATGAGACAAATGTTTACATCACACATTTCTGGAAAAGAAAGGAAAATTATAGATTCTTACCAAGTAATCATCAGGCTTGATGCCAAAAAGCTCTCTGAAATATCGGAATGCTAGTGGAGCATATGTCTTAAATCTGAAGTCTGGGTAGTGATGTGCTGGGGTCAGATTGCTCCCTTCACTGCAGTTAAAATAGTAAAAAGAATAAAAGAGAACATTAGCGAAGACAATTTTGATTTCAAATTCTAGCTCTACTGGTGCTGAGCCAATTTCCCCTCTACAAAAACAGCACCCCCTGAGAGTGGGTCTCTTGAAGTGCATGTTTCAAAGACGAGTGGCCATCGGGCAAAAACAGATGCTAACTCAGCGAGAGCCACTCCGTACAGGCAGCCCCTGCCAACCACACCGTGTCTTCAGCCTGAGAATTTGTCGCCATCCTCCTGTGCTTCCTTCCTGGGGAAATCAACCCATTTTTCTCATGAAGCCATAGTTGACTTGCTTTAGGCATAAGCTCCATACAGGGTTTAGTGTGTGGGACAAATTTTAGAAATGCATGTGTTTTTTTTTTACCATGAATTTTGAACACTGTATAAATTCTTTGAACTACAAATAAGTGGAATAATTTTAAAAATAGATGAGAACCATGGAACTGGAAATAGATGGGGCTGGATCTGTGAAGTCTTCCTTAAATTCATAATTACAGGAAACGAGACTTTCAATTTTTTAGTGATTTAAAAACCTGATTTCCATTCCCGCTTAAATCATTTTCTTTTTTTCTCCCTCTTCTGGGTTCATCTTTGATTTTTTTTTTGCAATATTTATGATATGAAACGTGTAAAGTATAAATCAGTGAATATCATGACACCAAAATGCTGCTTAAGAAATAAAATTTATCCATATAGTTGAATCCCTTCTGTACTTTTTACTGATCTTATACCCTTCCTTCCCCTTAGAAGCATCCACTAGGCTGAATTTTGATGTTTATAATTAATTTTATTTTTTTACTGCATATAATAATGCATTTCACATATCAGATAAGTCACCTTATGTGCCTGCACTTTAATTTTTCATTGTGAAAAATTAGAACAATGCAGTAGAGTAATATGATTGTATATATAGATTCATCTATATATATAAAAAGTCCAGTGACCAAACAGTGGAACAACCAGAATAACCGGTCGACCAGTCACTATGACACACATTGACCATCAGGGGACAGATGCTCAACACAGGAGCCTTCCTCGGTGGTCAGTGTATTCCCACAATGGGAGCACCACCCGGCTGACTGGGATGAATGGCGCTCCCACAGCTGGCCGATTCTCGCAGGCCTTGCCCCCCACGAATGCACTGGGCTTCTAGTTTTATTAAATGTCAGAGACCATTTTAGCTATCAGATTAACAAAAATCCAACATTTTGGATAGCTCAAGGGAAACGAGGAACCCTGAAACATTAGTGGGAAAGCAAATTGATAGTTTTCCTATAGAGGATACTTTAACAACTTGCCAACATTACAACTGTACATAGCTCTTTGTTGTAGCAGATGCATGCTTATATGCTTATACTGTATGCCACAGATAAAGTAAGCCATGAACACACATGTGTGTCTGGTTATTTATGATAGCATTGTTTGTAAAGATGGAGGATTAGAAGCAACCTAGATGTCTCTCATAAGGGGCTGGTCAAATTCATTATGGTTCGCCATACCCTAGAATATCATGCAGATATTTTACAAAGAACAAGGAGGCTTAATATGCAATGAGATGATATCTAGGATAAATTAAGTGAAAAAAGTATGATGCAGATACTATGTGTGGTGTGCCACCATTTATATACAAAAAGGAAAAAATATATATTGGGCAGGTAGATGTATTAAAAAAAAAATCCTTGAAGAATGCTCTGGACCGGTGGCTAAGTTGGTTGGAGTGTCATCCCATATACCAGAGGGCTGCAGGTTTGATTCCCAGTCAGGGCACATACCTAGGTTGTGGGTTTGATCCCTGGTTGGGGTGTGTTTGGGAGACAACCAACCTATGTTTCTCTCTCATTCAATGTCTCTCTCTCTCTCTCTCTCTCTCTCTCTCTCTCTCTCTCTCTCTTTCTCTCTCTCTCTCTCTCTCAATCAATCAATCAATCAATCAATCAATCAATAAAACATATCTTCAGGTGAGGGTTAAAAACAAAATCCTTGGAGGATAAACATGCCCCTAGGAACAGTGATGACATTGAGTAAAAAATGCACAGAGACCAAAGTGACACTTTTCAGTCTTCCTATTAAAAGCATCATGAGGATAAACTCTTCTCTGTATTACTATTCATAACATTAGAACATTTTAAAAGTGAGGGTTAAAAGTCATAACCTTACACACATACACACACACACACACACACACACACACACACACACACACACACAACACTGCACATTCGGTGCCACAACAGAAGGGGTTGCTTCTGCACATCAAGCTGCTCCAGTGACTAACAGATACCAGCCTGACATGATTGAAGCTTTCCTGAAAGAAATGAAAATAATGGGGCTGTTGGCTCCAGATGGGAGTTTGTCAGGAGCTACAATGCACAAGAGCAGAACCAACCAGCAGGCCTGGTGAAGATTAGCCAGCAGACACCAACCTGGGTTTTCTGAGGTCATGCAATGACAGAACCACTGGCTCGGGTGTGGGTGCTGGCCACAGATGTCCAACACAGAGGCTCCTCAGCACATGGAGAGACTGCTTAGCTAGGGCACTTAAACTGCAATCAACATGAATCTGCTGCCAGAGAAAGGGTCCAGGGCTCTCCTGTCTTCGTTTGGTGGTCTACAGCAGAAGACTGTGCCCAGCACCTAGACCTACTCAGCAAGAGTCATCTCTGGAAGAGCAGACTTCTTCCCAAGTTAAGATTTATATCAATGAATTTATGCAGTGGTTATTTTTTTTTGTGTGTGTGTGTGTGGTTTTTTTTTTTTTTTTTGTGTGTGTGTGTGTGTGTGTGTTTTGGTGGGGGGGATCTACTTTTTTCTACTGACAAATTAGAGGCTACGGGAATTTCAGCTGGGGGGTTTTCAGGGGTGGTTCTAGATGTCTGACTCCCATGAGCTGGTAAAATTCCAATAAAAATTTGGAGACCACATGAAATTTCCAACTTTATGTTACCAAGTAGGAATCTACACAATTGAGCAAACACATAGTACTATCAAGTTATAAAGAAAAGGGTCTGCTAATGCCATAAGAGGAAGAAACTTTGACTAAAGAACAGTACTTTCTCAGCCTGTCCTTTTCTCTCTTATTTCCTTTAAGAAGCAGTCCAACTTGAACATGGATTGACTCTGACATTTTGATATTCACCTTTTCTGAACAGAGTTCAATTTAAAAAAAAAAGACGCTTTTAATAATTTTAGAGAGTGAGAGGAAGAAAGAGGGATAGAGAGATAGAAATATTAATGAGAGAGAAATTCCTTCTACAGGGGATTGAACCTGCAACCTGGGCATGTTCTTGTGACCTCTTGGTTCATGGGTCAATGCTCAGCCACTGACCCACACTGGCTGGGCAAGAGTTCAATTTTTAAAGCCAAAGCCAGTGCTCACTGCAAGTCCAAAAATACACATTTCTTAATGGCAATGGATGCTTAGGATTATAGTGTTGAAGCTTAAGGAGACATTAGCCACCATCTGATATTTCTCATTTAGCAGATAAAGAAATCAAAGGCCAGGAAGGGAAAGTAAGGGCCTAACCTGGTCAGAAACGAACAAGATTGGGAAATCAGATCCACACCAGAGCAGCCCTGCCAATTCAGGCAAGGTGGAGAGCCTCTCATTTCCATACATGGCTCTCTTTAACCAGTGAAACAGAAACGGGTCCTCTCTTTTTGCCAAATGAGATAGTACTTTTGGATGGAAAAACAAAGCAAAACAAGAGACATACCCCTTGCTGGTGCCAACCCCCCCTCAGCTGAGCTGCCTTGTGCGACAGGAGACGGAATCACCTTTTGAGGCCAATCAGCTGGCAGTAGTCTTTAAAAGTCAGTAGCTTAAGGCTCCGTAGCTCAGGGGTTAGAGCACTGGTCTCGTAAAAATCAGTAGCTTTACTGATGTGGAGGGGGAAAAAGAGAAAAAGTCAGTAGCTGAGCGGTAGCTGGTTTGGCTCTGTGTCAGCTCACAGACTGAAGGGTCCCGGGTTCAATTCCAATGAAGGGCACGTACCTCAGTTGCAGGCTTGATCCCTGGCTATGGTTAGGAGGCAACCAATTAATGTGTCTCGCTCACATCTATGTCAACCCCCCCCCCCTTTCTCCCTCTTCCACTTTCTCTAAAATTCAATGGAAAAATATCCTCACATGAAAATTAACAACAACAACGAAGTTGGCAGATGAAAATAGCTTAAATTCTGAAACAAAATAATGTATTCCGGGTGTCACTCACAGTATTACATGGTGTGTCATTGATTATTTACATGTTAAAACCTCCCAAGTGGTATTACCATTCCAGGAAATTGTGCTTTCAGGGCAATTCCAAATAAGTTAAAATGTTATATAATATTTGGTACATGCAATAAATCTTTTATTTTGAAATAAAGGAAGAGGTATATAACTTTTATTGCTAGGAAATCAGTTTCTTCCCAGCCCCACAACAGAGGCTGAGCAAATACTTAAAAAGAGTTTTGACTTGAAGACACATCATATTATTGGCTTGCCCAGCAACAGCTGTATCTCACTTAATCCTGAGAAGAGAATTGTGACAGTTTTGTATTCTATGCACATATACATAAAACTTGGTGCAGAATGTCTGTATAGATTGGGACAGGGAGCAATCTTTTAGAGTATTGCAGCCAATCAAGCCTGCTGTTGTGGAAAAGGCAATATGTAAGTGACTGGATGTGGCTGTGTTCCAATTAAACTTTATTAACAAAAAGAGGCAAAGAGCCAAGTTGTGCTGTGGGCTGTAGTGTGTTGACTCCATGGGATACATACAATTCTTGGATGAGTTTATGTCAGCATTACCTGTTAGGCAGGTAGTTGGCTAGTGTGTTAAAATCTAACATCTAGCACTAATGTCTGGAAATACTTACATAAACCTTTGATGTATACGTTTGCGTGGAATTTAGAATAATATTTTACCCTCACAGAAGTTCTGTGGAATTTTCTCCCCCAGTGAGGGTACTCCCTAGCTATTCAAATAAATCCTGAA